CGTTTAATGCATCCAAAAGTGCGTGTTATGAAAAGTAGCTAAAAAATGTGTGTTTAACGTACTTGTCTTATTTCATGTAAATCTTAAATCTTAGTATATTCCTCGGGTTTGGTTTTTCAATCCCTATTTTTGAGAGGCCACAGTATCATGCGTATCAATTTAACTTTAGAGCACCTCTTCGAGGAGCAGAGGCTCGCTTATGTTTTTGCATTTTTATTCCTTAGAGTTTGTCAACATTCGAAGGGCACAATTTAACTCCGAATCCGAATGGTGAACGCGAAAAAATCGCGTATATGAGGCGCAAGTGGGATCGAATCCGGATCTACAGATCACGAGTCAATCGCACTGACTTGGCGCCCCGTAAATCTTAAGTCGCACGAAACAAGCTGTAATGAAAATAATGAACGAGATTATAGTAAAGTAGATACATGCCCGGGTAGCATTTATTATATTATATTCTTGTGTGTGAATCCATTTATAATTTAACATAATGTTTTGAAAATATGTAAATAATAGATATAATGTATAAGATATGTAAGAAAACTCGGGCATAGTATAAATAAAGCCAGTATATGACCCGGATCTTAAAACAGAATACGATTCGATTCTCACAGACGTTGTATTTGCATCTAATGGTTTCTATTAAATTTTAAATTTACTACGAAAGTAATCGATATTTTTTTGTAAGATAATTAATGGATAAGTGGATAATAAGAAAGAATTAATAATTAATAAAACTTTTAGTTTACTTGAAAACTAAGAAACACTATAAGGAAAATGAGAAAATAAATTTGTATATGATTAAAAAGATTATAAAACTATTGTAATAAATTTAATAGCGCGTATTTATGTGACTCTTTGATTGCGATTATTTAAATTTTATTGCGGTTTTTAATTGATATTATAGTATACAAATTAGTGTAGTAATATAATTTCAGTTAATTTTAAATTTACTTTATTACTATGTTTGTTTATAGCATCAATTAAGAGGATACTGGAGTGACGGACAAGATCAATTTTGTCGATAGTATAGATTTTTTTAATTCCAAATAAAAAAAGTCGATAATAGTGACATCTTTAATTTATTTCTTACATTACCATTCTGTCTCATTCAAATGCATATATGTGTCCTTATCTAACATGTTGCAACGCCATCTCTTAGAAGATCGAATACCTACTGCTAAACACAACTGCTGTTTTGTTTATCATTCTGAGTATTCTCTCAGCGTTCATATATTTATAGATCGATATAAATCTTTTTTTTTAAGTTTTTAATCTTAGTTTCATAAAGTCAGTATACTTGTATATATATAATATTATTTGTATGTCACATAAAACATTGAGTGTTGAACTATTGTTTTGTCATTTTTAGCTTTTTTTCGATTTTAGTATAAAGTTCACCTCCCAATTTTGCGTCTATTTTAATCCTGTAAAAGGATTTTTGATTCTGTTCGAATAAATTTGAAGATTTATATCGATCTGCAATGTCCCGACAATTTGGTCATTCCACAATCGTTATTTATAATTAATCTGTTTTAAACTCTTATATGTTATTTCAAAAATTACTGTTCGGAACGAAAAGTAGCAACTATACTTTTATGATTTAAATTTTTTCGAGAACTTTTTTGCCATAATATTCTAATTCGCGAATTTCCACAGACACCCTTTATATAATTAAACGTTATTCACGCGTATAAGAACGAATCATAAGATGTTATTGCTACATAGCAGTGGAATAAATAATTAAAGTGCTAGGAACGCGCCGTGGTAGTTAATGATCACTTCGCGACGCGGTATTCGCGCCCTTATGTTGCAAAATCATTTTCAAGTTGAGAATGAAAGAGGGGAAGAGAGGGAGGGGAGGAGAAACGAGACTGACAGACGGCGATAGTTAAGGAGGGTTTAAGGGGGTTCCAGGACAATGCGAATCTGTAATTATAAGCGCGCCGATCTTGTGCTTTTATTTCCTTTTTTTTCATGTAAAATTTCTTGCAGCCCCGTATTATCGCCTTAAATCAACAAAGCCGCTCCTCTGGTTCGGTAAAGGTACGGCATTCGGAAAGGGATGGGAATGGTAGAGAGAGAGAGAGAGGAGAGTTTTAAAGTTTGGAGAAAGATGAAGGGCGACCTACAGAGCAACAAGAGAGAGAAAGAGGGACTTTAATAACAGGTCTCGCTTAATAACCTACGTCCCGCACACGGTCCAAACTGAATGTCATTGCAGTAGATTCGATCACGTGACTCGGCACTGTTCGTATGGCAAAAAGGCATAGCGCAATCGACTCTCATAAGGTATGGTATGTGATATATGGTATACCGAGAGATATTGGACAACAATTTTTGATCGATTAATTTGGTGATACGTTGAGTTCATTTGTCGTCAATCAAAATATTGATAATTTATTTTACAGATTTCTGTACATAGGCTATGAAAAAATTACACATATATGTATACGCTATATAGAGGATGTCCATACAGCGCAGAATTTGCAACAATATCGCTGCAATAACGATACAATATTGCTGCAATGTTGCAGCATTCTCGGACAGCGCTCTGACAACATTAGAACAATATCGCAAACGTATGTTGAATACGTCTTCAAGATATTTGAAACGAGTCTATGACATATAGAGTATTTCTTCAGAATCTATTACGTCTTTCTCATCTCGTAGACTTTCGCAGGGAGCTTCTAGTGATATACCGTAGTTATTCTGAGATGTATGAATATGTTTTCACTATATCTCCAGTATTCGCGACAATATCTGCGTTATAATGATTTCTTTAGTATGTATG